ATGATGCCAAAAAGTTAATTGCCATCTGCAGTCTCTCCTTTTCTTAACTGAAACAAGTTTAAAGCACAGAAACTTTGTAGTGATTTGCTCTTTTATAATGAAGTTATTATGCTCTCTATAATAGCCACTGATGAACATTGACTACATTTACTATTTCTTTAGGGTCACACATGGCGACAGTCTGTCATTCCTTCTTCATTCATTTGGTAGAATTCTTCTACCTAAATAGAAACTTCATGCTCATCAGTTATTTGGTAACCCTGAGGTATAATTTGCAGAGCAAAAGCAGGTCGAAGGTTGAGGCTTGAAGCTATTATCTTTTACATAGTAGTAAAAATTAACAATAAACAAATGAATTGAGTACACTCATAAATAAATAAATAAAAGGGTGAATTTTATAGTATATGAACCAGGACTCCTTGAAGACTGATTATAGGTCTAGGGCAGGAAATGTACAAGATGAATGTAGAATATCTTGTCATACTGGAAAGTGATGAAGCTGTCAAAGATTACTAGGGTCATGTCAAAGAGATTCAGAAACCAATTTGGAACTCCCAGTGGCCACAGATGAAACAGTCTGAGCATCAACAGGAATAATAGCTGCAATAGATTGAAGCACGTCAAATGTGTTTAAATCCAATAGTTTTCAATGATACTTTAAAAAAAAAAAACAACTCATTTGCCATATTTGGGTGATATTAGGGAACCAATTAATTATTTTGGAAATTGGTAAAAAAAAAAGGGGAGGGGGATAGAACCAAGCATATGACCTGCTTTTCCTCTGTGAACTGTACCTCAGGGTTACCAAATAATTGATGAGCATGAAGTTTCAATTTAGGTAGAAGAATTCTATCAAATGAGTGAAGAAGGAATGATAGACTATCACCATGTATGATCCTGAAGAAATAATAAATGTAGTTGATGTTCATCAGTAGCTGTTAATTTCACAAAAACGGTGACAACAGGGTATGATGTCCCTCCTGATAAACCACTATTAAAAATCTTCTTATCAAAAAGCCCCAAAACACCTAAATCTGATTATGCCTGTGTATCTAATTGCCAATCTGTAGGAAATACCTATAGTATTTCCCATATGTTTAGGTCAGAGGAACACGTTAAATGACACCATGTGGATATAATCCAGAAAATCTAGATTGGGGAAGCCACAGGCCAAATGACCTGGTTTCTTCAAGAAATAAATTACAAAATAAGAAAGGAGACAAAACAGAGCATTAATAAGATAAATTGGGATAGTATTGATCGGAGTTTGAAGTTCCAGAGACCTTGTGTTGTTTGGGAGAAGGGTAAAAATACTGATGCACTTCAGTTTCTAAGTTAAATATACTCATTAAAATTCTTACCAACCACTAAAAAAGTAGAAGAGTATATGATTTCCAAGCCAGGAAAGGGGAATAAAAGAGGGGGGGGGGGGCTGACCCGGTGGCGCAAGCGGTTAAGTGCGAGCGCTCCACTTCGGCAGCCCCAGGTTCGCAGGTTCGGATCCCAGGCGCGCACCGATGCACCACTTGGTAAGCCATGCTGTGGCAGCGTCCCATATAAAGTAGAGGAAGATGGGCATCGGATGTTAGCTCAGGGCTAGTCTTCCTCCCAAATGAAAAAAAAAAAAGAAAGAAATCGCTTAAAGTAAATAAAAATCATTATTTAAAAAAAAAGAGCAGTCTGTTAAGAAAAGAAACATTGAAAAGGTAGGATAAAAAGAAGCTGTAAATAAGATCATAGATATAAATCCAGTTATATCATTCCCAGTACGTATAAATGGACTAAATTTCATAAAGTTGAAGATTGGCAGCCTGGAAAAGAAAATCCAGTAAATGTTGTTCACATGAGACATCTAAAACTTATTACAGGGGCCGGCCCGGTGGTGCAGCGGTTAAGTGCGCGTGCTCCGCTGCAGCGGCCCGGGGTTCACCGGTTCGGATTCTGGGCGCGCACTGACGCACCACTTGTCAAGACATGCTGTGACGGCGTCCCATATAAAGTAGAGGAGGATGGGTGTGGATGTTAGGCCAGGGCCAGTCTTCCTCAGCAAAAAAAAAGAGGAGGATTGGCAGATGTTAGCTCAGGGCCGATCTTCCTCATGAAATAAATAAATAAATAAATAAAACTTATTACAGAATAGTTGAAAGTAAAAGAATGAAAAGAGTAGAGTTGGGAAGCCAATCTTATCTCTCTGAAGAGAGCATGAAGAATTTATTTTGTTCTCTTTTCAGGTTAAAGAAAAAGGAGTTTAGTTTAGAAGAAATATATACCAACAAGAATTATAAGTCTCCTCCTGCTAACAGGTATGTACATATGAGTAGGAAATAATAACCTGGGAGGGCTTCTGAAATGATCGATGTAAATCTCCAATCCTTTCACTTCAGAAAGGGTTTTGTGTTCAGTTCTTCCAGTATTGGGTCTTGGATATAACTAGAATTGATATTTTTAGTTCCCAACACTTGAATTGGGATTGGTGGTAGGATAGGAAAGAAACGTGTGTTGGGTTAGGTAGATAAAGAAAATGTAGTCTCCTTTTAGTTCGTACTTGTGTTTTTAGCAAATGTGCTGGCTCTCTTCTTCAGGACTAATAATGATTGATCTTCAGATATGATTTCAAACCCAAATACAGAAAGAGTTTCACCTGGCTACTTTGGATCAGATTTCAGTTCAAGTCACTAAACATTCGTTAAATTCCTGTTGTATCTAAGATGTAGCAGGAGAGTTCTAGGATTTTATCCTACAAGAGAAACATTTGCCCTAAGACGTTTGTACAAGATTATTCATTGCAGCATTGCTAAATAATAGGAAAGGATTGGAAACAACTTACAATATCCATTAATAGGGTTCTGATTAAATTGTGATCCATCCTCATAATGGAATACCCTGTATAGCTATTAAAAAGAATGAATCAGATACCTGTGTTCCAAATTGAAACAATTTTAAAGGTTATTGACAGGTCAAAGAGGCACAGTGCGTAGGACAATGTATGTAGTTTGAGTAAGGAAAAAAACCAAAGTGGAAGATATTTGCCATGGGTCAGCAAACTACAGGCCAAATCCAGCTAGTGACCTGTTTTCTTTCTTTTTATTTTATGGTCTGTGAGCTAATAATGGTTTCTGTATTTTTAAAAAGTTGTTTAAAAACAAAATAGATGGGCCGGCCCCGTGGCTTAGCGGTTAAGTGCGCGTGCTCTGCTACTAGTGGCCGGGGTTCGGATCCTGGGCCCCACCGATGCACCGCTTCTCTGGCCATGCTGACGCGGCGTCCCACATACAGCAACTAGAAGGATGTGCAACTATGACATACAACTATCTACTGGGGCTTTGGGGGTGGGAAGGGAGGAGGATTGGCAATAGATGTTAGCTCAGAGCTGGTCTTCCTCAGCAAAAAGAGGAGGATTGGCATGGATGTTAGCTCCGGGCTGATCTTCCTCACAAAAAAATTAAAAAAAAAAAAATCTATATAAAAACAGAATATGTAACAGAGACCTGTATGGCTCATTAGTTTTATTTATTTTTTCTTTTTATTTTTTATTTTTTTAAAGATTTTGTTTATTTTATTTTTTCCCCCCAAAGCCCCAGTGGATAGTTAGTTGTGTGTCGTAGCTGCACATCCTTCTAGTTGCTGTATGTGGGACTCGGCCTCAGGATGAACAGAGAAGTGGTGCCTCGATGCGCACCCGGGATCCGAACCCGGGCCACCAGCATCGCAGCGCGCGCACTTAACCACCAAGCCACAGGGCCGGCCCTCATTAATTTTAAAATGTTTACTCCCTGGCCCTTTACACAAAAGGGCCAACCTCTGATAATATATGCTTATTTATGCATATCTGTACATTGAATGACTTTTGGGGGATACCCAAACTGTTGCTGGTGTTGCCTATGGGGCGTTGATCTTTTTTATTCTTTACTCTTTTATCCAGTTTCAATTTTTTCACTATGTGCTTGTAGTACATATTCATAAATATATATGTTTTATCATACAAAAAAATAGATACTGGCCAGAGGAAACAGTTGAGTCAGGAGTTGTTAGTGCAGGTAGCTTTCAGCCCCCGTTGGCCAGAAGGGTTGGTGGCCCAGGAGCTGGGCCACAAGAGTCAGTGTTGATGATTCTGTTTTGTGCTCCACCCTTAGGTGTTTAGAGACCATCTTTGAGGAACCTAAGGAACGAAATGGTACGCTAATCTCAATCAGCCAACAGAAGAGGAAGCGAGTTTTAGAATTTCAGGATTTTACAGTCCCACGAAAGAGAAGAGCTCGTGGTAAGGTCAAGGTGGCAGGCAGCTTTACCAGGGCCCAGAAGGCGGCGCTGCAGAGTCGAGAGCTGGATGCCCTTTTGATACAGAAACTAATGGAACTGGAGACCTTCTTTGCCAAGGAAGAGGAACAGGAGCAATCATCTGGTTGTTGAGAAGCAATTCGGTTTGGGAGTGCCAATTTTAGATTTTCCAGGCCTCCTCGGAAGAGGTTGCCTAATTTTACCCTACTACCCAAACCACTCAAAATGCAGTCCATGGATTGTTACCTATTTCAAGGTGTACCCTTTTTAGGAACTGGTGAAGGAGGGTCCTCTACTTTTACTGCTGAGTATAGAACCTCAGGAATGCTCCCTTTCTCCTGGAAATGGTCCTGAATGACATCTGACCTCCTCCTCCCCCCACTCTGCCATCCACGGGAGGAGGGCGCAGCATACCTTCAGTAACACTAGGATTCCAAGGACTCACAGCATTTGCACGTCCATGTGAAAGTTCCACGTTGTTTACAGTGGTGCTAGACCAAGATTATTTAGAGATGTGGCCTAGGGAGGGGGACCTGGCATCCTGTCCTATATGGTCTCACTGGCTCATTTCAGTAGTTGAGGAAAGATGAGCTGTTGGGTTTTCTAATTCTTTGAGTCTGTCTGCCCAGAACTGGTTTTGTGTGTGTGTGTGTGTGTGTGTGTGTATGTGTATGTGTGTGTGTGTGTGTGTGTGCGCGCATGTGTGTGCGCGCGCATGTGTGTGCGCATGTGTGTATGGCTTTTTCCCATCATTTTTCTCCCCTCTGACTGTGGGTCACTAGTGCCAGAGGAGCCCGTCCAGGCCCCATTCAAAGTAAGTTGCACTTTTTAATGTAGTGTTATTTTCCTTTGTTTTATTTCTTTCTTTCTTTTTTTTTTTTTTTTTTTGTATTATTGCTGCATGTTTGGAGCCTTTAAATGTGATTTTAGAACAATTTTTTTAAGACATCAAGGAGAAAGACAATACATGTCTTCAGAATATATGATAGGCATTTGACCCAGTTTTTCGGTGCATGATATGGGACAATGGAGAGACATTTTCCCATTCATGTGTTTCAAGCAGTCCCTCCCCCATCTCCAACTTCTAGTGTAACTCATTAGAGGGAGCACTTTTTTCCATCTGGGTTCTCATTCTTGCCCACTAAGTAGATGTATTTATGTTAATGATGGAAGTAAGAGCAGGTTTCTCTCCCAATCATTTAAAAAATAGAAAAGGTTGGGTGTGGTCTTAATGGGTTTTACCTAAAGTGGTCTGTAACAGAGTTGAGTACAACAGCTCTGGTGGTGATAAACCCTGACCCAGAGTGTTTGCAGATGTCAGAGCAACCTGCTCCAAGAATGGGGAGAGGCGATCGGCCGTGGTTCAAACCCAGTGATGCATTCTTGCGGTGCAATCATGAAATTCCACGGCCAGCTCTCTCTGAGGGCACCTCGTTGTACTCTGGGCTCCTGTGTCAAACCTACTGGAAATTTTGTAGAATGCCAGAGTTAGCTGAGCTGCGTCACCTGTGCCTACAGTAGTCTGTGGGCAGAAGGATGCTGTGTGGGTCAGCAGGCCCAGAGGTTTCATTCCTTTTCCACTTAATCCCTGTGTGTCGTTGCCCTGCTTCCCCTCCCTTCCTTCTCCTAGGTTTTATCTTTTTTTTTTTTTTCTCTCTCTCTCTCTCTCAAAACAAGAGTTCAGAGAATTAACATTCCTTGGCTGGTGAGTGGGATGCTAAACCCAGCCTCAGGACACTGGTCACCTCTTCCCATCCTCCTAGGAGCCACTGCTGGGAAGCAGCTGCTGATGGGAACTGTCAGAGTTCCAGAGACATTTTCAAATCAGTCTGTTAGAGAAGAGTGAGTGATGCCGTCCTGGAATGTGTCTCCTAGGTTTCTTGTGCTTCCCCATTTGTTAGTGGGTGGGGAGATGGGGCGGGGGGGTGGGGGTCTCTACGTGCCTTTCCTTTGCAGGTTGACAGTCTATGCCACACTGGAGCAGAAAAACTTACATGAGCAAGAAAAACAAAGTGCCACGTCTATCTTCTAGGCCCACTGCCTCAGCCATAGCATTTATTAAGTGAAATACACACCTGGTAATCCATGGAGGCTTCTTAAGGCCATGGCCAAATAGCATTAGAAGAGAGCCAGGTTTCCATACTGGCTCTGAATGATGCGTACCAGATTCTGCTGTTCTACATCCACTTTGCCCAGACTGTATAGACACGATCTGTGTTTCACCTCAATACCTCTCCCTTCCTGGGACAGGGTCCTTAGACACTAAATGCTTCTCTCTGTCTTTTTGCTTAAGGGAGTGGGATGAGTAACACATTGTGCCCTTGTGCAGATGTTTTAGGGAGCTCCTGCTGGACAGCTTGCAAACTTCCAGTGTGTCGACAGAGCCCTGTTTGCCAGCTCCACTGCCAGTGCAGACGAGCCAGCAGTGTGGCAGCCATGTCATCCCGCAGACTAAAGTTGAGGTGGGCACAGCTGTGGTATCACCAACATTACAGAGATACAATTTCAAGTTTGCCTGTTGCAGGCATGGCACTTGTAAGGGCCGGGAGCAGTGATTTGGAACATTGGCATCTGGGAAGGGAGGACTGGAGGAAATGGAGACCTGGGCTCCTTCCTTGTCCTGGGAATGTAGGAGAGAAGCTGCTCTGAGGCCAACCCTTGAAATTCTCGGCCTGCCCTCTGGCTAGGGCCCTTCCCCTGCTCCAAAGTTAAGAAGGGGCCTCCATTGCAAACTTGAAATTGCTTGCCTGAAGTTGGTACATCGGGTTCTAGCCATGCTCAGCCACACCTGTCTTAATGTCCCTTTTCACCATTGGCCTAGCCAGCTGCAGCGCTGTCTGTGATCCTCGGAGCCTGTGGTACCTGCCCATGATGGGAGACATTAGACGGCTGCTGGCACGCCACCTGCCCAGAGCTACAGGAGGTCTGGTTCTGGGGTGGGAGTTGGTACAATTTCTGAGTATGGGGACTTACCACCCCAAGAGGTAGGGAGTTACAGTTAACCATAACTTACTGAACTCCGGTGGTTGAGTGGTTTTAATATGGGAAAGAGAGGAGAAATCTCAGGTCCAGTTAGGGTTCTGCCCATTAGCTTTTCACTGAAACTTTGAACTATGGTTTTTTCATCTTTCAGTTTATGGCTATATTTGCTCCTCCCTCTCCCCCCACCCACCTTCCCCTCCTCCTCTTTTCTTTTGGTCTCCTTCCCAACTTCATTTCTCCATTAGTTTAAACGTACCTCATCACCTGTTAAAGCAGATTATGTCCACTTTTTCTTACTGACCTTACTCTAAGAGCTACAACTGGGGGAGGTACAGTGAAAGACATGTAGCGTTTGCCTTACTCGGAGCCTGAAGAGCTCAGAAACTCATGCTGTGAATCCCAAAACTCAGTGCTCCTCCAAGAGCTGTGAAAATCATGACACTTTGTCAAAATTTTGCCTGAAAGGGTCTTTTGCGTGGGCGCCAGAGCCAACCTGAGGTAGATTCCAGAGCTCACCCTCTGGGCATGATCCTCCCCCCATGGCTCATTCCCTGCCCGCCAGGCCAAGAGCAGCACAGAGTGTGCAGGACTGGGGCAGCAGATCTGAGGCTTTGGTGCAGCCTAATGGAACGCAGAGCCAGCACTCCGTCTCCAGGCTGGGATTTCATCTCATGATCAACACCATGTACATTCAGATCCACGAAAGACCAACTTTTAGGCAGTGATACTTCTCTCCCATTACCTGGGGGGAAAGTATGCAGTTGGTGCTTTCTTTAATTCCCTTGTTTTGTTTTGTTTCTGTAAGCTCTTCCCCTGCTATCATGGAAAGGACTTCTTAAACACCACTCTGTGGGTGGCTGTATCCAAAGTCTCAATAATTGGCCAGAGGTGCAGAGTATCCTGTCCTGGATTCACACAAGGAAAGGGCTCCTTACCACAACTGAACTTCTTACATAAAAAGCTGGCTGGGGTGGAAGGCTTAATTTTACTAAAATCAAAGTTTAATGTTATCATCTAGCCACAAATTGACAGCAAAGGCTATTTTGATAGTAAAATGAGAGTCCCCATGTAGCCTGCCATTTAGCACAGCATATTCATATTTGATGCTTGTTCATTGTGTGTCTTCACGAGCCCCTCTCTGGTGCTGAATTGGATTTGAATTCTTGGTGAGAGCCCTCAGCATCTCCTTGGGCTGGTCTGGGCCAGTAAATAGCTACCTGAAGTGTTTATATATTATCATGGTCAATAGTTCAGTGAAATTTGTACATTTTTGGTAACATTGGCGCACATGATGCCCCTACAGTTCCTTTTCTGTTTGGTAGTTTGTGACTCTAAAATTCCCACTGTTATGTGTGTTAATTTATGAAAATAAATTTTTTTTTTGGAAAATCCTTCAGATAACTCTCAACGTTGTTATTTTATTCTCATGGCTTGGTAATAAGTTAAAATTTTACCTGTAATATCATGAGGTTGTTTTTTTTTAATAGACATTCCAAAGTAACATATCACAACAAGCATATGCCTTCCAAAGCTATCACCGTTTTCTGAGGACTGTCTTGCACTCAGAACATGTGTAGAACTCCACCTTTGAGTGGCCTTCTGAGCCTGCAGTGAAGCTTTTAAAATTTACTCAGTGGTGGCAAATCATCTCTTGTAAAGGAATTTGGTGTTTGGAAACAGCCAAGACTCATTCAGATCCAAGTCATACCCAATGAAGTTGGGTAGGGTTGCTGAGCAAGTATTTTAGGTGTGATTTTTAAATAGTGTGACATTTTCTAACATGGTCAGGAAATCAACAAGCAATTATAAATTCAAGTCAAAATGCGTTTCAAATATTAGCAACATACTTGGAATAAGAGTCTAGCTTGCTAAGGAGACTACTTGGGAGAGTATAAATGTGGTGGAGTAGATTCATTTTCTTTAAAAAAGGTCTCGCCTTTTCTCACCTTTCCTTCTCAGCTGTACGTGAGGTTAGGCTATGAGTCTTCTGATTCTCAACTCTTTAGTTAACCAATGGAAACTGGTGAAAGAATGACTCTGAAACCATGGCTCTAGAAAGAAGCATGACATGTTCCAGAAAGAAGCATGGAACAGTTCTTCCTCTGTCCAGGGGAAAAGCAGTGCCTGGTTTCCCTTCTTGGCCTTCTTCCAATTCTTGGACTTCTACAATAAAGAATTCTGTCAACATAGTCTTTTGCATTTGGGGAGCATTCTACCTTCATGATTACTTGGAGAAGAGTACTCTCCTACACCTTTTCTTTGTTTAGAGGGGAGAGAGGCTCATTATCAATTAAGGCAGCGTTATTCCTTTAACTTTTCCCATCACAGAAGCTTAGCATTAGTAGAGCCTCTTGAGAATAAGAGGACTGGTCCAAACTGATTTAAGAATCCTCTGTGGTGTCCTCCCCTCTCCAAGTGATGGAGACCTCATTTCTGCAGTTCTTTCTGAGACTTTGCTTAAGAAATGTTCCAGAAGATTCCCAATTCTTCCAGCAACTTCCAGGGTCATAGGTGAGTTTTTTATAACATCTTTCTCAAACCTCCAGTGTCTTCTCCCTCCTCACTGTCAGCTGATAGCTTTGCTTCACATTTCACTGAGGAGATAGAAGCAATTTGAATAGAACTTCCACACCGATCTTCGCGGTTCCTTGAACAGACCAGGCATGCTCCTCCCCTATGACATGTTCACTTGCTGTCGCCTGTGCCCAGAATACTCTTCTCCCACATTTCTACATGGTTCCTTCAGGCACTTTCTTCAGATCTTTGCCTCCCCAGATCACTTCCTACATGTATCCCCTCCCATTCTATATCCTCCTTACAACGTTTTATATTTTATGGCGCTTACCACCACCTCCTTCTATGTGTTCATCACTGTGATGTAAGCTCCTTGAGGTCAGGGACTTTGTTTTATTCACTCTGGTCCCTTTTGGCCCCTCAGGCACCTAAAACAGTCCCTGATATACATGGTAGGAGCTCAGTAAACACTTCATGGGTGAATGAACTGCTGCTTTCATTCACAGATCTTGTTGCAGGCCTGCCCAAGTCCTCTTCATCCCACCGACTCAGAATACTTGAAGACCTCTTAATTCTTCCTTCAGCTACCCTTCAGGGGACCTGGCTGTGGCTGCCCAGGCGCGGAAGGTAGAACTGGGCACTTTTCTGGTGTCTGGCTCCACCCAGCTCCGGGTGCAACCACACCCACTGCTGGCCTCGCGCCGTCTGATTGGCTGCAGCTCACAGGCGGGGCGAGGCCAGCCGAGGAGTTTCCCACCTGTGAAGCCGTGTTTGGTGGGATCGCCTACCTGAAACGGAAGTAGGCGCGCCCCGCCCAGGAGCCCGCATCCCTGGAGAGGCTCGTGACTGCGGGGCTGGTGAGGGCGGAGGCTCGCGTGGATAGAAATCGTCTTGGGAATTTTTTCCCCTTTTCTTTTGCCTTTTTAATCTCAGACTCTTGATGGTGAAATGGTCCCTGAAATAATGCAAACACAGGGGCAAATATCCCAAGGTATTGCAGCAGCTGGTGAGCGTGGGCGCCCCTCATGCTCTTCCCCTACTGCTGTCTGCCTAAGTGGTCTTTGTAAAACACAATTTCGCGCTTGTCAGAAGCACCCCTTAAATTCCTCCGTGGCTTTCCCCTCACCCCAAAATAAAGGTAATAACTAGCATTTATTGAGCCCTGACCAAGAGCCAGGCATTTTCTGTTAATTACCTCCTTGAATCTTCACAACTTGATGAGGTAGATATTGTTTTTAATCCCCATTTTGTGGATGAGGAAACTGAGGCTTAAAGACAGATTAAGTGATGCGCCTGTGTAGTCAGTGGTAGAGCCCCAGTCTCCTGACCAGGAGGACCTGTGCCACCAAACCCAACATCTCCACCCACGCCTTCCCCTCTAGCCCCATTTCCCTGTGGCGCTCCACAACTCTGAATTTCTTCTGGTTCCTCGAATCCTCCATGCTGTCTCTTGCCTTGAAGCTTACCCTTGGCTGGAAATATTCTTTCTCCCATCCCTTCATTTGACTGCCACCACTTCTCCTTCAGATCCCTGGAGGCTTTCCCCAGCCCCTTCCCTTTCTTCCCCACCACTCCCTTCCCTCTTCCGGACCCTCTTAAATGCTTCCTCAGCCCCTGCACTGCCCACCCTCTGAACTGCCTGCTCACTCATCTGGATCCCCCAGCTACCCTGTGAGCTTCAGGAGGGCAAGGTCTTGATTGCCATCCCCAGCCCCTTGCACAGCCTGGACACGTAGTTGCTCAGTCACTACTTATTGAACAGATCATGTATCATGGCTCACCCAGGCACCATGGGGCACCAAGCTATCAGGCCACTCTGGAAGGTCATGGGCAGGTGGAGGAGACAGACACATGGGTCAGGAACTGAGAGGAGGCAGACTGGCAAGTTTTATGATACAGATAGAGTGCTGTGGGGATAGGTTGAAAGACTGTTTTTTTAAAGAAGTATAAAAGTTGCAGAAAAGAGGAAAGAACAACATAACAAGTACCCATATTTCCACCACCCAAAATGAACAAGGATTAACATTGTTCAGTTTACTTCCAGTCATGTTTAAAAGAAATAAAACATTACAGATGTCACCAAAGTCCCAATAAACCATCAGTCCCTGCTGCATCCCTCCCCTCCACTCCCTAGAGAACGCCACTATCAGGTTAGTATCTGTCCCTGACTGCCCTGTCTCTGTCCCTCACTGCCCTGCTTCCTCTCTGTCTCTTTCCATAAGCAACTTATGACATTATGGTTTTTTTAAGACACATTTATTCAGCATCATGATCAGACTATTGCATTTAAGCAATCAACAGCACAGGTGCAAAAAAAAAAAGTCTATATTAAACCCCTTTGCTGGAATGCTTTGCTCTTTACACAAAACAGAAACAGGGGCCGGCCCCGTGGCTTAGCGGTTAAATGCGCGCGCTCCACTGCTGGCGGCCCGGGTTTGGATCCCAGGCGCGCACTGAGGCACTGCTTCTCCGGCCACGCTGAGGCTGTGTCCCACATACAGCAACTAGAAGGATGTGCAACTATGATATACAACTATCTACTGGGGCTTTGGGGGAAAAAGAAATAAATAAATAAAATTATAAAGAATATGAACTGGGGATTAAAAAAAAAAAAACAGAAACAAAATAACCTGTTATACAATTAGTCACAAATACAGCCCTCAAGTTTTTTGCCCATACACATGAATATTGGCTAAAACATGTCTTCTTTGTAGCAGCTACGCCCTGCCACCCTTGTGCTTGGCTGAGTTCACAAATCTGTGTAACCTGTAACTTCCCTGCCACTTCTCTGGCTCTCCTGTCCTGCTAAGCTTTGTTTCCTGGCAGTAGTTTAAACCTTCTGCCACTGCCAGAGCTACTGCTGGAACTGCCATTCACCTTGGTGTCATGGTTTGGCAAAGTATTGGCCTCCACCACCATAGAGGCCAGAGCTTCTGCCTCCAAAGTCTTCTCTTTTCATGGGTCCAGAATTTGAAGATTGATTGTTGTAACTGCCGAAATCGTTGTAGCCTCCGCCACCTCCAAAACTGCTTTCATCATTAGCAAATTTATTATAGCCATCTCCACTGCCACCATACCCACCACCACATGGGCTCCACCAAAGTCACCTCAACCACGATCAAAGTTGCCATTCCCACCAAAACCACCTCCATGACCACCACCAAAGTTTCCAGAACGACTTCGACCTCTTTGGATGAAGCACAAGCCATCTCTTGCTTAGATGGGGCTTTCTTCACCCCACAGTTTTGGCCATTCATAGTATGGTATTTATGAATTACAGTTTGTCTACGATGTCATGGTCATTCAGGGTCACAAAAGTAAAGCCTCTCTTCTTGCCACTGCCTTGGCTGGTCATGATTTCAATTACTTCAATTTTCCCATATTGTTAAAAACAATCTCTTAGGTGATATTCTTCCGTGTCTTCTTTAGTGCCACCAATAAAAACCTTTTTCACAGTGAAGTGGGCGCCCAGTCTTTGAGAATCTTCTCTTGAAACAGCCCTCTTTGGTTTCACAACTCTTCCCTCCACTTCATGTGTGGCCTTGCATTCATGGCTGCATCCACCGCCTCCACGGTGGCGTATGTGACAACCCCAAAGCCCCTGAAGCATTTGGTGTCTGGAGCTCTCCTTACTACACAGTCCATGAGCATTCCCCATTGCTCAGAATGGCTCCTTAGACTCTCATTGGTTGTTTCAAAGCTCAACCCTCCCAGGAAGAGCTTCCACAGCTGTCCCAGTTTTCAGGAGACGGACTTGGACATGACGGCAGCGGGAGGGGAGACTTGAATGATGCTTACTCAGTGGAGTCCACAGGCAGAAAGGATATGTATTTTTTTTTTAAAGTACACAAATCAAATACCTAGTATG